CCCCGGGCGACCCCGAACCGGTGCAGGCGGCGGAGCGCTCGTTTGTCGAGCGCACCCCCCCCCAAAAGGAGGAGCCGACGGAGGAACAAAAGGATTCTCGGGCCGCGGCTCCCAGGGCCAAAAAGGCCCGGCAAAAAAAAAACAAGGCGGAAAAGGTTGCGGCGGCGGCTGCGAACGAGGCCGAACGTGCGGACTACCCGCACGGGCAGGCAGTTTCGGGAGAACGTTGAGTTTGTGATGGAGGGCCTGGAGGTTGGGGGGCAGGGGGCGCGCAACCCCAGGGGGTCCAATATTCAGGTGGCCTACTCGCTCCCTCCCGAGGGGGGCAGCGGGTTTGGCGACCTGGTGTACGCCACGGTCCCTTTGGGCTCCGGGGGGACCAAGGTCCCCCGGGACTGGTTCCCAAAAGAGTTTTAGGAGCCGTCCCGGCGCGGCAAAATTGATGCGGCCTGCAGGGACCGGAAGGTCCCCGACCTGATCACGGCTGCCGGGGCCTTGGAACCGGCCGACCCCGTTTTCAGCGGCAGGTTCGCGACGGGGGAGGCGCCCCCCCCGAGGACCTCCGCCTCCAAGGCGGACGAGGGGGAAGGCTTTGGCGGCGATTTCGGGACCGGCCCCAAGGGCTTTGACCTTTTGGGGCCGGACCCCACCCCCATGGAGGACCTTTGAGGTCCTCCCCAGTTTCACCCCCCCTTACTTTTGCCCCCCCCCCCCCCCCCCATCCCTCTGCCTCCCATAGGGCAGGATAGCACTAGCATATGCTACGAGGTCCTAGTGTGGGTTCGGGGACTGTTCACACCAGTGCGGGGGTAGGGGACCCCTGCGCATAGCCCCGGAGTACCAGTATGGATGTTGTTTCGGCCGCCAATTCCACGGCTGCAATTCTTCCTCGGGGGGAGTGAAAAAAAAGTCGCGGCGGGGGCATATGCGCCTAGTGCGCACTGGGCCCACATAGATGTGACCCGCCCACTCGAGTGCGGCGCCCAGATGCTAGTGCTTGAGAGGACACCACAAACGCGACACGGCCCGTTTTGGATGTCTGCGGAGATTCTGTCTTAGCATACACAGTGAGTCATTCGGAGTCATTCGATGGCCAGAGTGCGATTGTGTGTGTGCGGGAGTTGGTTTGTCGGGAGGGAGGGGCAGGCTGCTCACCCACGTGCACCGGGCCAGTGCTTGCACTTTGAATGCCGTGGGGCTCCTGCCCGTGTCCGGGTGTGGAGATGCGAGGGTCGCCCCCCCTTGCCCCACCACTTTGTGTGTGTGGAGAAACTTACCTTACCTTACCTCTGCAGTGTGCGCAGACTGCACCAGAGAGACTGCAGAGCCAGTGTTGCTCCGTATCACGCGCCGCCCGCCGTAAGGAACTGCAAACACATCGAAGCGTCGCTGTACACTTCTCCGGAGAGCGCGTCGTCCCGCTCGAACGCCACGTGCCGCTGAGAGACCCAGATGCCTACCGAGCCGAGAGGGCGCCGAGATAGCGCCGAGGTGTCGCCGCGCGCCACGTGCCGCTCCGAGACCAGAGCGCCGTACGGGCTGCCGCCGTGCAGCGTGCCGTGGCGGGGCGGGCGGCGGAGCGGACGCCACGCACCTCCTCCGGCACCGGCTCCTCCAGCCGCCTCCGTCGCCGCCTCCGTCGCCGCCTCCGTCGCCACCTCTGAGCACTTTCCGGCGTGCCTTGCGCCCCGCACGCACCGCGGGTTCCTGGCGCACTGCCCCTGGCCACGCGGCGCGCTGCGGTCGGGCCGCTGCCTGTTACCAGCGGACCGCTGCCTGTTAGCACCGGACCGCTGCCTGTTGCGATCCCGCTACGAGTCACAAGCTGCTGCCGTCTGTATGCCATCCGTATGCCCACCTGCCCAGAGCGCTCTGCTCGTCCAGTTCTCTACTCATCCCAGTGTGAAGCATGTCTGTTCACAGCGGCTGTATCTCGACCGCATCTCGCCGATATCTCGCTGCCTCGGCTCGCCCTTGATCATGCCGCGGAGCCACGCAGGGTCGCGAGCGAAGGGGCCTGTCGGCGGCCTGCCCTGGTGCGTGTCCTTGTACCGCTGTTGCTAGGGGCAAACACTGAAAACGTAACTTGATCGGGGCGCGGTTTTTTTTGGACTAGACTGCTCGGGGGAGGTGGGCGAGTGATTGGGTAGCTTTGGGGCCACCGAAAATAATGAGAACCGCCCCCTATATCTCGCCAAATCTCGATTTTTCGCGGGAATGGGCGCTTCTCAGCCCCGCGCGAGCTACAGTGACTCCCCAGGGCTTGTCCCGTGGCCCAAAGTGGTACCCCGAGCTCCGCCACGAGCGTGGGCAATCAGGAGACACCCACAGTCACGGCGGGCGAGGAGTTGGGTGACGGCCAACTGTCGATTACGGCGCCTCTGGAGCCTCCTGTATCGTCGGTTCGGCTCGAAGATCGTGCCGCATCCGCATGTAAACCACCTCCGCGCCCCCGCTGGCACATGTCCGCATTGCCCGAGCCTGGGAGAAGTTCCCAGTGCCCGGAGGCTGCACAGGTCCGCGAAACGCTGGCGCTGCAGCTCCCGGCGCGCACCCCAGATTCGCGAGGAAAACAGCCGAAAACGGGTCGCGCCGCGATCGACCCTCAGCGAGCCCAGGCGAGCCTGGTAATCCCACCCGGTGGTAAGCGCACGTCCTCCGCGTAATCTAGCGCGCTGTGCAGCCCGCCAGTGCATGGCGCCGACCTGGGCCGCGACTGGTCGATCTCGCCGCGATCTCGCCATCCAATTCTCGGTCAGGTGTAGTGGATCACCTTAAAATCCTGGATTAATTCCTGAGCCCACCTGGCCCCACCAGACGGGTAGCACGAGGCGCCCGGGCCACTTTTTAGCGCCTCCCGAGCCTCCCGGCGCCTCCTGTGGCCTCCTGAACCCTCTCCCCCGCAGCCTCTCTCGGCGACGTGGGGAGCGGCTGCCGTCCACGGCTCGCACCGGCTCTTCCAGCGGCTCCACGCTTGCCGCCTGTGACGCCCGCGCCACGCACTGCCACGCGGCCGCTCGAGAGAGCGGTCGACGCCCATACTGCTGGGCGTGGCGCTCTATCGGTCGACGCTTCGGCGTCGCTGCTTGGTTGGGGACCCGTGCCTCGACGCGGCGGCGCGGCCGAGTACGGCTCGGTGGCACAGCGCGTCGCCACGGATAAGATGCGGCCACAAGCGGCTGGGGAAGCTCCAAGAATGTTTCGTTCTACTTGCAGGAGAGGTCCAAGCAATTCGAGTGACTGCATGGCTCTTCGCGTCGAGGGATGCGTCCAAGATCGGATTGGCTTTTTTGAAAGCGCCGTGTCTTGCGGCATATTCCGGGTCATCGATCCACGTGATGTGACAAACTAGCCGCTAGTAATGAATATGGGAATGTCATCTAGTTCAGGCAACCCGAGCGACAACTTCACGCGCTTGGCGTGTGTGTCGTGTGTGCCTGCTGCTCAAGCGGATCATATATCCTATCCCCTCCGTTTTGTGGTAACGCGGATATGAGCATATACACAACACACATACCACGGTCCGTCTGCATCCTCGGCCATCTACCGCCGTGCCGCATCACCCTATGTCGCCGCGCGGCGGCCGCCGACGCGTCGGCGCTCGCCTGCAGCTCGGTGTACGAAGGCGCCGCCTCGGGCTCCTCCCGCGTGCGGTGCAGCGCCGAGAGCACCTTCAGGAGCGAGGCGACGGGCACCGCCGCGGCGATGTGCCGGTGTAGCGTGTGGGAGCCGTTGGCCGGGTTGTACGACGGGCCCGAGATGCCCTTGGACTTGGCGAGGCAGTTCTTCAGATAGTTCGAGAGCGCGGTCTGCCCGACGTCGTGGTCGATTACCTCGAGCTGCACCAGCGTGCGCGTGGTGTGGGCGAGCGGCTCCGCCGCCCGAGCGGCGGCTTGACTGAGCAAGGACGGGACGAGGCCCTTGGCGAGAGCCAAGTTACGCCACTGCGGATCGTCGGTCGGAGGCTGCCATCGCTCGCGCAACTGCGCACAACACGCACACACGGCTCAGGCAGCAAGGCCGAGATAGAGCCGAGATATAGCCGAGATACAGCCGAGATATAGCCGAGGTGTAGCAGCCGCGGCGGCGGCTCAGGGGGCGGTGGGAGAGCAGGGCGGGCGCCTGCTCGTAGCGGCTCGACTGCAGCAGCACGACGTTCATCCACTGGTCGACGAGCGTCGGGACGGCGACCCACGAGCCGTCCGCGCCGCGGCCATGTAGCAGCACGAGCAGCGCCCATGCGTGCACCTCCGCCTCGCTGGGCAACGCCTTGCCCGAGGCGCACAAGATCGAGTTCCTGCGGCGCGCGCGCGGCAAGAGCTCGCCAAGGCGGGGCGAGCGCGGCCACGGCGAGGGCGGGCACGCACCGCTTCGATTCGGGCGCCCCGCGCTGCAGCGCCGCGCGCCGCTCAAGCTCGGCCTGCACGTTATGGAGGATCTACTGGAGCTCCTCGGTCGTGACATCTGCGGCACACACGCGCAAACCTGAGACCCCCACGGGCCCGGCGGCGGCGCGGCGAGCGGGGCGCGCGCAGGGGCACACACGGGCGTCGCAAACGCGCGGGCGCAGCGCGCCTGGAGCACCAGGAAGGGTGCCACCGCCGGCGCCGTGCTCCGCGTGATCACCTGCACGCACAGGCATCGCAGATCGTCAATGTCCCGCTGTGTCCCGAGCTTGGGGCTCGCGCTCCGGCGCCACGGGCTCGACGCGAGGACTCTGGAGAGAATGTCAGAGTGAGAGTGGATGAGGTTGGAGTGGAGGCGGCAATCGCCGTGCGGGCGCGCCGGGGGCTGCAGACTCCTCCAAAGCAGCGGGACGGGGCGCGCGCGCGACCGCGGGCCGGATTTTGCGGGGGAACTCGGGGGGAGGGCGCCCCGGACACGCCCTGCACGCGGCGCGGGCTGGCGCTCACCAGGAGCGGCAGCATTTGCGGTCTTGCGCTGCGGTTTTTCTTTCGACGACATGATTCTTTTCCCTTTCAGCGGCCTCACTTGTCGCATTTGCGAGGAAAGCAGGCGCTAGCGCTGCGGCGCCGGAGTCTTTCGGTCACCATTCTGGACCATCTTAATATTTTTCAATGATTTTTGCAGGGTCTGAAAGCTGAGACTCAGCTCTTCACGCTCGGTATGAAAGCAAGGTCCGTCCGGGGGGTCCCATTTTTCAGTATTTCCCCCTACTGTTGCAGCGCTTCGATCTCTGCCGCCGCCTGTCCCTCTCCTCCTGCACCGTCTCCGCGCGGTCTTTTCCATTGTTCCATGTGCGCGCGATCGAAGCGATTCCAGGGTCGTCCGCGGCGCGTTCCCGGCGGGGCCCGACGGTGGCCGGCGCTTGCGCGCCAGCCCCGTCCGCCGCCGCGCGCCGGCTCCGCGGCCGCGGTCCCTGTCAACTGTCATAGCTACGCGCACCATGGGGCGACGTGCCCGCCGTTTCACGGAGCGGGTCAGATCTACTTCTACACTGTACAGTCGAGAGAGGCCCTGCCGCAGTGGAGTCGAGTGTAATCCCATGTGCATGTGGACCCTCTCTTGGTAGGCCTGGTGGTGTGCGCGGTGCTGCAGTCCTTCGTTCAAACTTCCCCTTTCCCGTCGATAAACGAGGAAGACCTCAACCCGCGTGCCCCCGGGCCCTCACGACTGCAGCGCCCCTCTCAGTCGGCTGACCAGCTCCGCCTTTCGCCCTCCCACCCGCAGCCCTTCCCCCCGAAGCCGCTCCTTGAGCTGGGGGACGGTGAGCGACGCGAGGCCGTCCGCCTCGTCCTCCCCGCCTACCCCCGTTCGGCCGCCGCCTGCGCCCATGCCCATGTCGCCGCCCTCGCCGCCCTCGCCGCCCCCGCCGCCCTCGCCGCCCTCGTCGCCCTCGCCGCCCTCAGCCCGCCACGGCGCGGGCTCCGAACGGTCGGCGGCCGGAACGCCCCCCTCGTCGCGCCCGCCGCCGGCATCGCCATCGCTGCGGCCGGGGCGCCGCCGCTGCGCTGCGGCCGGGGCGCCGCTGCGCCTCCCGCCCTCCGCCGTGGGACGCACGCGGTACGACCTACGAGGACGCGTCCGGGACACGTCCACGGGCCGGCTCCTGGACATGGTGCGATCTGGCCGCCGGGACGGCGCGGTCGCCGCATGTGCCACTCGCGCCGCCGCTCGTCCACCTCGACGCCGACCTTCCGCAGCTGGGCCTGCATGGGGCGCTCCGAGATTGCTCCGAGATCTCACTCCACGCACCTCGCCCCCCCCCTCCCCTCTCTCCCTCCATCCTCTCGGGTTGGCCTGCAGCGCGTCCGCCGCGTCGAAGTCGCGCCTCTTCTTGGCGGCGAGCCGCTGCGAGAGGAGCGCCTCGATCTCGGCCGCCACATCGGCCGCCTACTCCTCGGCGCAGCCTTTGCTCCCCTCGGGCCACCCTCTGCTCTTCTCGGCCACGCCGTCCGCCGATACACGACTGGGGTGGCGGCCCCAACTCGTGGTAGGTGGGGGGGGGGCAACTCGTGGTAGGCCGCGTGAGTTCCCCGTAGCGCAGGAGACTCACGGAGGCGATCCCGTGACGCTGCGTGGGACGCGCCCGCGTGCCCTCGCCAAAGGTGCAGTGGGAGTGGGAGTGTGGAGGCAAGGCTGACTAGTCGGGCGCCAGGCGGAAGTTGTCCGCGGCCGCGCGTCTGTAGTCGTGGCCGGCCGCAACCTCGACCTGGTGAGGGGGGCGGCGAGGGGGGCGGCGGCAAGGGTGAAGACGAGGGAGGCGGCGACGAGGGCAGCGGCGAGGGAGGCGGCGGCGAGGGCGGTGACGATAGTGGCGGCGGCGAGGGCAGCGGCGAGGGAGGCGGCGGCGAGGGTGGAGACAAGGGCGGCGGCGGCGACCTGGCGATGCCTCTGTTCGCGTCGTGCGCCATCGCGCCTCGCCGGCGCCGCTCGCGCTTCCTCGCCAAAGACCAAGTCGTACGCGCTCGCCGCCGACGACGAGGAGGAGCTCGAGACCTCCCAAGAGCCCGCGTACCCTGCTCCTCCTCCACCTCCACCTCCACCGCCACCGCCACGGCCACCGCCACGGCCACCGCCACCTCCTGCCCCTCCTGCCCCTTCCTGGCCGCCGTGCCGGGCATACCGGGGAGGCGGCAGCGGCGCGGCATCGTAGTAGCGCCACGTGCGGCGCCGGTCGTCGAGCCCGACCCCCATCCGGCTCAGCTCCGCCTAATCTCGGCTGATCTCGGCTGATCTCGGCTGATCTCGGCTGATCTCGAGCCCGACCCGCATCCGGCTCAGCTCCGCCTCGAGCGCGTCGGCGCGTCGGTAGTCTTTGGACGCCTACTCCTTGCATGTGGCCCTTACGAAGGCGGTGCAGACCGTTCAAAGCGAGGCCGCGCCCCGCCGGACGCCTTTGCGGCGCCACGCTCGAGCACGAGCGCCTGCTGTGAACAGCGTCTCTTCACACCCGCTGCTGTGAATAGGTCACGCTCGAGCACGAGCGCCTCGATCCGCGTCGTCCCTCCCGTGCCAAGGCGCGGGATCCCGCCGCCCTCCTGACGGTACGGCACGACGAACGGCCGATCGTCCGAGCGCCACAGCCGGTGGTCGTCGGTGACGCGGACGCCGCTGTCGAGGAGCCGCTGCAGCAGCGCGTCCGACTCGGCGAAATCTCGCCGAAGCTTTGCGGCAAGCCGCTGAGCAACGAGCTCCTCGATCGCGGCCAGCTTGGACGCGTCGAGCTGCGCGGTGCAGTCAGGCGCGCGCGAGTACGGCGTCGTTAACCTCTCTATCCGGCGGGCGTCACGCTCGCGCCGCTGCGAGCCGCGACTGCCGCCGCCGCCGCCGCCGACGCGGCCGCGGCCGCCGCCGCCGCCGCCGACGCCAAAAGCGTTTCGCTTACTCTGCCACGCGCGGCCGCCGCCGACAAGGGATATGGAGAGCGCGACCAGGCAGATCATGTTGGAGGAGCAAATACTGTCCCGTTTTGCTGTTCACAGCTAGCGACGGCCTCTGCGGCAAAGTCAAACCACCCCACCACCACCTACCTACCACCTACCTACCGCAGCAAACCTTCGGCTCCCCCTCAGAGGCTCGCCGCGCCCGTGCGGCGCGCCGAGGCGGCGCCGAGGCCGGCGCCTTGCACCCGGCCCGCGGCCGGCACCGCCTCGCCCCACAACTGACCGCCCTGCGGCCCCTGCGCAGGCGTACCACAGGCGTCGCTCAAAAAGCGACGCCGGGTGTGGGCTGCTCCCTTGACCCGTCACCCGCCGCGCCCTCCGCAGTACCCGGGGTCGCCCCCCCGGCGAGGAGAGAACCTGGGCTAAAAGGTGGGAAGTTTCGCTCTTTGAGCCATGACGCGTACCAAGTGCCACAAGAAACCCCACCCACTTTCTTCTTCCTCTTTCACTCCTTTGAGCGCGCACACAAAGCTGCGATCTGCACGCCGGTGCCTGCGCAACTGCTGCGCGACAGCCCGCTCAGCGACCAAACCCGCCAAGGTAGCCCTGGGGCAGTCGGAGAAGGGGCAACTCCGTGCACTGACGGTCGGCCGTCAGAAAACACGCCTCCGTGGCTCGTCGAGAACCTCGAGAGAGAGAGACAGGGTAAGAATTCTTAAAATACAAGCCTCTCTCACAGCACACTTGCACGACAAGGGCGCGGACTGGCTATCACTGGCTCATTCCCGCTTTCCCGCTCAGGCCGCCGGTCGCTTGCAAAGGGCCCGGGCACCAGCACCCGGCGCTTGCGCGGCTCCGGCCGGGCATGGCGCGCGAGGTCGATGTGCTTCAGGATCTGCGCGCGTCGGTGCTCCCGCTTGCGAACACGGCACTCACCGAGACGACCGGCACCAGCGTGGCCACGAGTGTCGAGCACAACCCACACTCGGCGGTCGGCATGCCCCTCTACAGCCGCTTTGCCGCCGCCCGCGCGGCCGCGGCAGATGACACTCTACGTCTCGCCTTCCATGGCACCAAGGCCGCGAACATAGACTCCATCTTCGAGCACTCGCTCGACCCGTCGCGCCGAGGTGACCATGTCGGCCAAAAGTTTGGTGCAGGCGAGTACTGCGCCTCGCGGCTATCGACCGCCATCAACTACTGCCGTGAGGACGGCGTGCGGGTCAACAAGGTCGTGGTGCTCGCAGTGCTCGCCGAGGGCGCCAAGGTGCACAGCGCCGCGGAGCCGTGGGGTGAGATCCTCGTCGTCGCGCGCCCGGAGCATCTGGTCCCGATTGCAGTCATTGAGGTCCCGTTCGCGACGGCCAGCGTGGTGCTCGCGCGCTTGAGCGCTGGGGAGGGTGCCAACCGCAAGCGCAAGCTGGAGAGTGAGCAGTCCATCTGCTCGCGCATCCTGACGAGCCTCCGGCGCGGCGACGTGAGCGACGCCTCCGAGCTCTACAACAGTACCGAGGAGGTGCGCGAGGGCGGGCGGCCCTCCTACGCCTTTCAGGTCGCCTTGCAGCTCGAGCAGGACGGGCTCGACCGCGCGGTCGCCTCGGCGCTCTTCCCGGGCGCCCTCGACGCGATCACGGCCCAGCGCCGCTGTAGTGGCGCCGCCGGCCCGTCCACGAGCCTCCCTTCGAGCCGCCGTCTCACAGGCCTGCCACCAGCCCCGGTCGTCCACGCTCCGCTCGTGAAGATGCAGCCCCCGCCGGCGAGCAGCGGCCGGCAGGGGTCGGTGCCGAGGCCCACGCGGGCGCCGCACTCCGGTGCGGGCGGCCACACGCGGTGGCTGTATCGGCAGCACTTCAGCGCCGAGCGAGCGAGCCGGCGCTGCGAGTGGGCGCGCCTCCTTTCCTCCACCGGCGCCGTTGAGCTCGCAGAGGGCGAGTGGCCGGCGGGCACGTGCGATCCAGTGACCCTCGAGGAGCTGGTCGCTCGTGCGGACGACCCCGTCGTGCGGTTGCCGTGCCACCACTGCAGCGGCCGCGTCGTGTGCTGCTTCCAGCGATCGACCGTCGAGCGCTGCCTCCGCCTCTCTGGGCGCTGTCCGTCGTGCCGCACGCCCTACGACGTCCCCGGCCCGCAGCCGAGCGGCCAGATGATCGTCCGCCGCGACGGCGCCATGCACTGCGCAGGCCACCCTGGCGTCGGCACGCTCGTCGCCACGTTCGCATTCGCGCCGGGCGTGCAGACGGAGCGGCCCGTGTAGAGGCTGAAACTGTGAATAGACGCTGTTCACAGCTGTACTACAGGATGCAGACGGAGCGGCCCGTCTAGAGGCTGAAACTGTGAATAGACGCTGTTCACAGCTGTACTACAGGATGCAGACGGAGCGGCCCGTGTAGAGGCTTCCTAGACACTTCCTAGACACTTCCTAGGCCCATGCCCGCCTAGAGGCTGAAACGAAGTAGTGCTCGCGCGGCACCCGCTGAAGGCCAGCCCTCGCTGCGTGACGTCTTCTGTCGCCCAACCAGCGCCCGCGAGGACACGCACTCCGCTGTATTCAACACCAGGGCTGCCACCATGCACTGCCGCCCTCACTGTCACCTCCGCCGCGCCTGCCGCCGCCGTCCCCGCCCTAGTCCCCGCCGCCGCCCTCGCCTCCGCCCCCCTTGCCGCCGCCTCCCTCGCCACCTCCCCCATCGCCGCCGTCTCCCTCTCCGCCACCCCCCTCCGTCTCCCTCTCCGCCACCCCCCTCCCTGATGCTGCTCCTGAGGCTGGTGTACTCAGCATTTAGGAGCGGATGCCGAGGCCGGGCGTGGCGTACGCCGGCCGTGAGCGCTGCGCCGTGTACCCAGACGACGTGACGGGGCGGCGCGCGCTCACGTGCATCCGACGGGCGTGGACGCGCGGCTTGCTCTTCCGTGTCGGCGACTCGCGATCGACGGGCGAGGAGGACGTGATCACCTTTGGGCTGCACCAGAAGACAAGCACCGTCGGCGGCGCGACCGAGCACGGCTGGCCCGACGCGGGATATCTCGACCGGCTGCTGAGCGAGTGTGCGGCGCTCGGCGTGGCGACGGACGATGAGGTGGACGACGCGCTGCTCTGAAAGTACCTGCGAGTACACGCGCCACGCCGCAGTGTCCCCTGCTGTGCCCCTGCCTCCTTCCCCGCTTCCGAGTCCTGGGCTGGTTTGGAAATCTTTTTGGTGTACCACTCTAGTGTTAGTGCCACACTCTAGTGTTAGTGCCAGTGCGCGCCTTGTCCCCGCGTGCCCTGTGTCGAATCAGCAACAGCATCACCACGCGACATCCACCTCGCCCTGCAAGGCCGCGCGGCGGCTGCAGGCGCTCTGCAATGCTTCCCGGGACTGCTCCGTGTACGGGTTGCCCAGGAGCACCACCGAACTCAGCCTCGGCAGCGCACTCGGCACCTCGAGGGCGTCGGCCAGCGCGCGCAATCCGCCGCCGTGCAAGCGGTTGCCAAAGAGCGAGAGGCGGCGCAGCTGCGCGTGCGCCGCCGCGCCGCCGCCGAGCGTGCGCGCGAGCTGCTCGACGGACGCGTCGCCCAAGAAGTTGGAATCGAGCGAGAGGAGCCGCAGCTGCGGCGCGCCGTCCGCGGCGAGCAGGGCGCTCACGAGAAAGAGGTCGGCGTCGACGAGACCCGCGCAGCTGAGCGCCAGCTCCGCCAGCGTCGATGAGGGCCGCAGCTGGCGTACGGGGACCCGCGCCGCGTCTAGCTGCGCAAAGTCCAGCTCGGCGCAGCAGGCGCTGTTGACGATGGCGCCGCACAGCGCGGCCGTGCTAGCGGCGCAGAGGCTGTTGCGGTGGACGGTGCGCTTCATCTCGTCGTGCACGCCGTAGCACAAGCAGTCGCCCAGCAGCGGCAGCCCCTCCGTCACGCCCTCTGCTTGCGCGCCGTCAGCGGTGGGCACGACGCTCCTGCCCGGCAGCGCTGCGAGCGCGCGCGCCAGGCCTTCTGCCCCCGCCGCGCCCAGGCTGTTCCCGCCCACGCTGAGTGTACGGAGCGGCGGCCAGGGGGCGTTTGCCAGCAAGCGGAAGGCGATGCGCGCCAGCCCGTCGCCCAAGTTCGGCAGCGACAGGTCGAGCCGGTCGGGCCGGGCGTTGTGCAGCAGGTGGCCGCGGCTGGGTAGGCCGCGGCGCAGCTGTTCAACGTACGTCAATGCACCGCGCGTGCCGCTCAGGCGCAGCCGCTCGAGCTTGGGCGCGCCGCCGTGCAGCAGCGCGCTGCCGAGGGCGTCGCACAGGGCTGGGCTGGGCTCGCCCGCTGGGCAGACGCCCGAAAGGTCGGCGCTGACCAGGCACGCGTTGGCGGCTGCGATAGTGTACACTGTCGCGGCGACCAGCAGGCACGCCGGTGGCGCGGGCGCGGGCGCGTTGCCGAGCCGTTTGCCAAGGCTCGCGACGCAGCGTGCGGGCAGCACCTCGAGGTCCAATTCCGCGCAGGATCCTCTCAACTCTTCTAGGTCGAGCCTGAAGCCGCCCGCGCGCAGCCAGCGGGGTGGGTCGCGCCAGCGCTCGCCGCCTCCGTCCGCGCCACGCCACGCCTCGCTCGCAAAGGCGCGGCAAGCCACGACCCGCAACGGCCCGCCACCGCCCTTGAGAGCGAGCAGCATGCCTGCGTCCGCGCAGTCAACCCACAGCTGCGTGGCCAACGCGTCGGCGAGGAGGTCGCCCAATGGGCCGTCGGCCGCGATGCCGGCCGCTGCTCCTAGATCGCGCTCACTTGCGGCTCCTCGCTCTTCTTCGGCGCTGAGAAAGACCGACTCGGTATCAAGGGCTCGCTGGGCGCCTCTGCTCAGCTTTGCTGCAACGCGGGAGGCGAGACCTCGCAGCAGTGGCATGGGTGCGTCGAGGTAGGTTGCCGCACGGAGCGCATGGAAGAGGTTGGCATCGGCAAGCGGTGCGGTCGCCGCGGCAGCAGGGTCGGTCACGAGGCTGGTTACGTACGCCAGGGCTGCGCTCGGAAACGGCGCCTGGATCGTGTGCTCTCCAGCAGCGGCAGCTGCGTGCTCGCACACGTCACGAGCGAGCCCCAGTGATGAGGCAGCGGTGGGAGGCAGCACGAATCGGCCGCCGTCGGAGGAGCGCAGGCACACCGCCATCTACAATCAAGCACTGTTTGTTCACAGCACGCCACTAGGAAACCTAGAGCCCACGGTTCCCTGGGGTCGCCTCGTGAATAAACGAGTATATTATAGCGGTGGGTTACAACAGCGTTGACTCGGACCACTAACTGGCTAGGGCTGCAGAAGCAGCGTATCTCACAGTCGTTCTTCACGTAAACCTAAACGCACAACCCCGGGCCCTCACACGGCCATCGCAGAGCAGATTAGTGTTGTGCGAGGGAGTTTTTTTGCAAAATTCTTTTGTGGACGCACTGCCCGCCAGCACACACACCCTGCTGAATCACATGTCTCGCCCTCCAGGCCGCAACGGCGCCAAGCTGGAGCAGCGCAAGGCGCGGTCCCGCCCTCTCCGCCGCCGCGCCTCGCTCGCGTGCGCTCGACGCGGCCGCGTCGCCTCGCAGGTCAGCGTTCACGAGGCCAACAGCGTAACAAAGGACTTCCTGCTGCTCTCACAGCCCTTCATCAACGCCGGCATCCTGATCGCGTCCGCCTCGTCGGGCCGCCGCCTGTACATTCACCACCTCACCGAGGTGCCGCTCAACGAGGTGTACCTCACGCGGACTGGAAACCACCTCCAGCGGGTCGACCAGGCGCACCGCGCCGCCGCGTGTGTGTGTCAACGCTTCCACTCCCTCGCCAGCGCTGCCGGCCGCGCTCCGCGCGTCTTGCCCGGACCTTGCCGCCACCGCCTCCACTGCCGCGCTCGTCACCGTTGCCCCCCTCGCCACCCCGGCGCAAACCCTCCGACATGTCAGCCGCTGCGCCGCAGAGAACTGTCAACCTGACGGCGCCGGCAAAGGGGACGGCGATCGACATCAAGGTGGAGGAGATCCCGCCGCTGCCGGTGCTCTCCGTCAAGATGACCCTCGCGCTCCCGACCTCCGTCTTCTCCGGCCCCGCCCGCGCGCGCGACAACGCCGTGCTCGACCTGCTACAGCGTGGCAAAGAGGCGACTCCCTCACCCACCCACCCACTCACCCACTCACTCACTCACTCACTCACTCACTCGCCCGCACCCCCCGCCATCCTTCCTCCGCACCCGCCGCCATCCCCTCCACCGCCATCGCCCTTGCCGCCGCCGCCACGGCCGTCGCCACCGCCACGACGTCGGCCCAGACACTTCCTAGACACTTCCTAGACGCTTCCTAGACACTTCCTAGACACTTCGTAGACACTCCCTAGACACTTTCTGCCTCGCGTCGGCACATGCCGCCGCCACTTCGCCGCCGCCACGCCCAACGCCGGCCACCTTGCTCTCCCAGGCAAACGGCGCGGGCGACTTTGGCACCGCGTGCGCCTGTTTCGAGGCCGCGTACGCTCTCTCTGTCCGTGCGGGCACGCTTGCCCAGACGCGGAAAACGCATCCTTGTACTCCAACCAGCGCTCGAGAGGAGAGGTATTCAGCCGCGTTCCGCTGTACTCCGCTGTATTCACTGTATTCCTATCCGTCGTATTCACGCGGTGCTCTCAATACGCTGCACAGTACCGTCTTCCCGCCCTGCAGTCGTTGAAGCCGTGAGTGACAATCGTTGAAGCCACCATCAACATGGCCCCATGCTGCCTCTGACCCTAACACTAACTTCAACCCTGACCCTCACCCTCACCCAAACTCTCTCCCTAGCCCTGATGGCGGCGTATTCAGCACGCAGGCATGCTGGTGTCTGCGGCGAACATGCGGCTGAAGCTGTCGCACGCGGCGACAGCAGCGGCCATGTACCGCTTCGTGCTCTCCGAGTGCTCCCTCCTGCCTGCGGAGCAGGAGATGGCCTCACGGAAGCTGGGGGAGGCGCGCGCCGCGGTCCTCTCCGAGACGTGTCCGTGTCCGAGACGTGTCCGAGACGTGTCCGAGACGTGTCCGAGACGTGTCCGAGACGTGTCCGAGACGTGTCCGAGACGTGTCCGAGATCTCTCTGAGACGTTAGGCCGTCCGAGTCGATTCGTGGAGGGATGGAAGCATCAATGAGTCGATGCATGGCCGACCTCAGGCGCAGGCCGTGCTCAAGGGGAGAGGGCTCGGCGGCGAGAGTGCGCCGGTGGCGAGCGCGCCGCCGCCCACGTTTGGCTCTTTCGAGGATTGCGCGAGTGAGATGGGCAGCGAGCGTTCCGAGGGCGAGGGCGCGGACGGCGACCCGTTCGGCACCTTCTCCGCAGACTTTGGCGACTTTGACGACGGAGGCGGGCTCGACGGCGGCTTCGACGGCGGCTTCGACGGCGGCTTCGACGCCGCCTTTGAGGAGCCGGCGGGAGATATGGGGAGATATGGGGAGATATGAGCCGGTACTCGACCAGCACGAGCCTCCTCCTCACCATCCCCAGTCCCATCCTCCACTTCCACCACATCAGCGTCACTCGGTGTCTCACCGTCTGCGCACTTGTCACGTGTCTCTTGATGCCTAGGCGCCGCCAGCGGCGTGCGCCTCGCCGGCCGTCACGAGCACGCCCTCCGCCTCGCCGCTGCCGGCGCAGAAGCGGGCCAACGGTGCCGCCGCTCCTGCCGCTGCTCTTCCCGCCGCCGGCTGTGTGACGCCCTTGGCGCCGCCGCCCGCTGTGAACGGCGCGGCGGCGGCGGCGGAGAGTGCGGTGCGGCACGCCGAGGGCGGCGGCGGCGGCGGCGGCGGCGGCGGCGGCGGCGGCGGCGGCGGCGGCGGCGGCGGCGCGTCCTCGGCCGCGCTGGAGGAGCGTCTGCGCGTGCTGGAGCAGGGCGCGCGCGCGAGTGCAGACCTGGAGAAGAGGATGGAGCGGCTGTCGGCGCAGATGGAGCGGCGCTTCACGGGCGCGAGAGAGATGGCGTGTGCCTCCGAGGAGAGTGGGAGGGCGGGCGGGCGGGGGAGACTCCCTTCTCTCTCTCTCTCTCTCTCTCTCTCTCTCTCTCTCTCTCTCTCTCTCTCTCTCTCTCTCTCTCTCTCTCTCTCTCTCTCTCTCTCTCTCTCTTTCTCTCTCCCTTGTATCTCTCTCTGTCTCTCTCTGTCTCTCTGTCTCTGTCTCTGTCTGTTTGTCTCAGCAGCGCCGCCGTGAGCAGGCGTCAAGCTGCGACCTTTCCGCGACCTTTCCGAGACCTCTCCGGGACCTCTCCGAGACGTGTCTAGGCGTGAAGACGGGCATGCGCGGACTGCACGAGCGGCTGCAGGCTGTCGAGGTTGCAACCCGCGCCGGCGGCTGCGGACACGCCCGCGGCAGGTCGGGACCGGTCCCTGTTGCAACTGTGCGGCCGTAGGTTGCGATGGGCAAGCTGCCCGGGCACATGAAGCGGTTCCGCGGGTGGCATAAGCAGCAGCAGCACGAGATTGCCGAGCACGCCGACACGCTCCGCCGGCTAGAGGTGCACGCAGCTGCCCCTAGAGTGGTTAGCACGCAGCTGCCCCTAGAGGGGTTGGGGTGGAGGGCGCGCGCCTTCTGCCGCCCCCTTCGCCGGTAGACATGGAAAATGGGTGGCGCTTCTGCCGAGCCTTTCGAGCTTCCGCCGTGGCCCTGTTGCGCCTCCCTGCCCCCGTTCTGCCGCCCGCCCCACTCCCCGGCGCAGATCCCCCGCCCCGACCCACTACCACGCCCCGCTCCCCCGCCACGCTCCCCCGCCACGCCTCCTCGCCTCTGCGCTCCTCTGCTTGATTCCTCGTGCCTCCTCGACCCCCGGCGCCGGTTGAATCGGCTGCGCGCCCCCACCCACAGCCCCAGCCACCCCCCAACCACCCCCACCCCCCGCCCCCACCCACCCCCGCCCCCACCGTCCCCTCCACTCTGGCCTTGGCC